GGTGCTCTCTCTGCTCCTTTCTAAAATCTACATGAACCTCCTGGGTGAGTTCATCCAGGACCATGGGATAAAGTATCATTAGTTAAGCTGATGATACTCAACAGCTGAACCCTGGGAAGGGGGCTATGGGTGCATGGAGTCCCAGGATCTGGAGTTTATCATCTTTAGTTCTAGATGGTGTTGCACTATCTCAGACAGACCCAGTGTGCAACTTGGGGGTCCTTCTGGACTCACAACTCCTCCTCAGAGATCAAGTGGCAGTTTAATGAAAATTACTTGCAAGCAAGTATATATAGGATTGTAACACAGGGCCAACATTTATATACTGTATGTGTTTTCATTGTTTTAATGCATCTTTTTTTACTTCTCTCCTTTCTTCCCAACCTCCTCAATTGCTGGTCTCTTCGATACTTACGACATATGTAATGCCTTAAAACATATGTACTTAAGCAATTGTTTCCTGAAAGGCTTAAAATATCTGGATGTTTACATACCCATGATTTTGAATGCATTGTATTTACTTTCCAGTGAAAAAAAAGGCTTGGCTGAAATGCAAACATCTGGGCTTTCCTGGAAAGATATCAAGAGATAAGAGGAAAAAAGAATAATATATTTAAAACCAATTGAATACTTTTTTAATATCACTGGAAGTGTAGCTTAATTCTTGTATATTTGTATGCTTCTTGCTGAGAAATGCCATGCCATATTACAATATACCTATTGTATATAGGTAGAACTGTATCTTTTCCATCAGCAAAAAGAATCATTTGAAATAAGGTGGCAAATGAATGAGTGAGTGAGTGAGTGAGTGAATGAATGAATGAATGAATGAATGAATTTGGTAAGGCCATTCTGAGCAACAAGTTATTATGTCTTAAACAAGAAGCGCCTGAGTAGTAGTAGATTGGTTTTCTTCCTTTTCTATGCTGCTATATCAAAAAATTAAACAGATTCATGATGAAATTAATAAGCTTTCTATTATTTTTTTCGTATCCCATGGCACTTTACAAGCTTTCTAAAAGATGTATTTGTTTAAGCTGACCTAGCTATCTAATAATGCTTATGATTTGAGTGCTATTACATTTCAAGGTGATCAGTGGGTCCATTGGTAGGCACATCTATTTAAATGCTGGTAACAAATCAAAATGATTTGCAGTACATGTTGCTGAGAATTGAAGAGAGACCACAGCTTTGAACCACAGTTTCCATAATTCTTCATGATATGTGAAAGGGCTGAGGGAACTAAAAAGGCCTAGTAGATGATAGGGAGCTGCTGGCAAAAGACAGGAGTTGAAGATGATTGAATAGCTGATAGAGCTATTAGAGTCTACCTTGTGATGGTAAGGGGGCAAAATGTAACTGTGTCTCCGCAGATAGTGATTCAATGAATGTTTCAGATGACTCTGTTCCTCCTTGGAAGAAGTTATATTAAGATGGGGGTGTCTCTATAAGGAATATGCTGTCCAGATAAAGCTCCTCATATTTGGTCTAGACTGAACTTCAGCCTTGGGGCAGAACCAGTGGAGGTTATGCTAAGGTTTGCATGGTCATTTGAGAGGAATTGATTCTGTTGGACCTAAGGCAGGGGTGTCAAACTGCCAGCCTACGGGCTGGATGCATCATAGTGAAACCGTGCTCACCCCATTGCTGGCAATGGAAAAAAAGTTGTGATACGTCGCGTCACGTGATGTTGCAAGTTTGACACCCCTGACCTAAGGAAATGGACAAGCCTTTGCAATAGCTCGGCCACATCTGTGTTAGATTCATGCTCTTCCTAGCTGGTTAAGGCTGCCTGCCTGATTGCGTCTGGTTAGTGATTAATTCTTCCTTGAGGGAGAAAGTGGTCTTACTGGCTCTTAAAGAGGCAGTGGTGAATCCTTTCCTCAAGCTACTATTACTTGACCCATCTAATCAGGACAGTTTTTATCTGATCTCCAACCTTCCCTTTTTAGAGAAAGTTGTGGAGAAAGTGGTCACTTGATAGCTTCAAAAGACCCTGGGTGAAACAGATTATCTGGACCCTTTCAATCAGGATTTAGGCTGAATTGTGAGAAGACTGCAACGTTGATTGCATCCTTAGATGAACTTTGGTGGGAGCAAGATGGGAGTAGTGCATCCATCCTTGTTCTTTTTGACACAGCAACCTTTGATACCATCAATCATCATATCCTTCTGGACCAGTTCTGGGAGTTGGGGATGGACAGCAGTGTATTCCATTGGTTCTCCTCCTTCCTCAACTATTTATTCTCCTTTAACAACTATACAATGTTTCTTGCAGTCCTTGTACATAGAATGGAGTAGTTCACACATTTTTCTCTGGTAGCATAGCCATTATCCAATGCTGGTGATAGCAATTTTGATAATCCTGATTTCTTTTCTTGGTCATAGAAAGCTTTAATGTGAGACTATTTTCTAAATTACCCTATTCCGAAGCCCTGACTGTGGAAGCAAACTTACTGGAAGGAAACGTTTATGAAAACTTCTGTAATTTATGTTTTGTGCTTTCTACACTGAGAAAGACCCTGAATTTAAATTTTTCCCGATGAGGGGAGAAAATTAAAAAAGAAAATTGTTGTGACATAATCAGCTTCCTCATCTTGTCAGGAGTTTCTAATTCCAGTTGAAGCCAGCCTTGGAAATTCTCCTCATGGTTCCCCAACAAATGTCTGCAAGAACAGTGCAAAGGATCTTGTACAATTTTTGTAAATAATTCAAAATAGAAAATATACCTAATAACCCTTCCTTCTATTTTCCATACAACAACAATCCTATGAGGTGGCTTGAGCTGAGAGTGTGTGACTGGTTCAAGGTCACCCAGCCAGCTTTCATGCCTAAAGTGGGACTAGAATTGTACTTTGGTTCCTGAATCAATTCATCAAACTGATTCTGAAGATCCATGTTGTAAGGAATGGAAAATTCATCTGTACTGTACTGTATTTCAGTGCTTAAGTATTTCAGCTTTCTTGAAAATCTATATATAATCTAGATGATGGTTTGGCTTTTCAACTTAATGCATCTTGAACACTTTTTGGTGAAGTTCTATTTCAGCTAACCATCAAGAAATGGCCATAAAGATAATCTATACATGGCACTATACCTCAGTGAGTGATAAACAAATTGGTACATATAACCATTTTGGGTCATAATGACCAATTAGTCTTTTTGGTTGAACATTTTGAAAGCATTAGGAAAGTCAGCACTCTTTCATAATGAATCCTTTTGGCTTAATGTCCATATTTCCTAAGTCACGTACATTAATGCATCATTAAAAATCAATAGTTATGGTTTTTGCTAGGTCCCAAATTTGTCATTGTATTACACTAGAAAATTTAAAGTGTAGTTTCATAAAACCAGTAGTATTTCAAAGTGTACAAATTGCTATGAGAAATTAATACCAAATAATAAAATCCCTGTTTAAGTGTTACTTTCATGTATTCAACCCAACATGAAAGGAACAGGAACACATAGCAGAGAAGGAAAGAAATGTAAACTAACAAAGTCTCTTGGAAAGAAAGCTGGCTTCTAGTGGTTTTACTTTCAACAGGACACACAGAAGAGTAATCAAACTCCAGTGCAAAGTTCAAAGTCAGGTTTGGCAGCCAATCTAAAATCAGAGTTCTACAAGCACTATTCACAGGAATGCCACACCCCAGAGCAGGAAATCAGACAGTTGCTTCCAATGAAGAAACATAGCTCCAAGGCTGCCTTTTAAATCAGGCCAGCTGATGATGCCAGCTGTCTTTAATCAGGAGAGCTACTCTCTTACTTGGCAAGGTGCTTCATTGAGTATCTTTGATATATTCACTGAATACAAGGATTTGGAGGTCTTATGTCATCATCTGACTGCTCCAGCTATTCTGATGATACCTGTGTTAAATCAATCTCAATTGATTCCTGACTTAGTATCTCCTGAGGTGAACATTTCTTTGGTTTAGCCGGAATAGGGTTTGTTTGTTTTTTGGAATTTGTATCCTGGACGATGACACTGGGTCTAATCAGGCTCACATGAGAATTTGCCTCCTGAAATATTGGTAAAGACTAATGCTAGAGGTCCAAGCATTCCTCCCAACAATTTTACATCCTCCAGGGCAAAAGTATCATTTTTCCTATCAGTCAATCTCTGCTAATGATTGGATCAGAAAAAAATATGGTAGAGATCAACCTGGAGCTGGATCTTCAGAAAGACTGATCCAAAGTATGAAATCATAATTATGAAAGCTTCTGCAGTAGCTCTTTCTGTTTTTCCACCATTCTCTCTGTTACACATAAGAAGTGCCTCCACTGTCAATCTTTAAGGCTTTACCTTCAAACATTTTGAAAGGGAGGTTAAGCAATATGCTATACTTGGAGCACCACTATCCCATGCATGAACATGGCTATCAAGATAGGTTTGCATATTTTTCTATTCTTCCTTATAGACGTATTTTGCTCTTTGTGCTTTTAATTAATATCTTTACCAAATACACAGAGTAGCCTGAAATAAAATTTGATGCTATTTACCAGTGGATCAGTCTACCGAGATTTCTATGAAAGTTGTTCAGTTATGATTGTTCAAAGGTATTGCATCTGAATTCACCTCATGTTTAGATGCTCTGCTTTTTTATGCCATGTGTGAATATTTAACATTTATCGCCAACATCTGGCCCACTAATTTGCTAATTTCTCATATCATTGTGTTGAAATCCTTTATTGCTTACATCTTTGACTCTAAACTGTTTATAAAAAAAGGCAAAAAGCTCCTCCCCTTCAATATCAGTCCACAGTTTTATCCTTTCCTACTGAAGATAATAACCAACCAGGAAAGTAGTCCAAGCTGACTCTGAAGCTCTTTCTGTCATTTAAATGGCAGATTATTCTAGACTTGAATAAGTTATTTGCTATTTTGGTTGTATGTGCTTATGCAAATATGTACTTTTATTAGAGGGGAGGGGACAGAAAACCAGTTTGTTATATAAATATTTCTTCAAAAATGTAATGCTTGCTGTACAAATTCATTTTAGGAACATCTTCCATCTGTGTCTGATTTATAATGAGTGCCAAATCTGCTATCAATAAAGAGATTTTTGCACCACATGATGAAAGGATGCTGGGTGCAGTCCAAGTAAAAAGGAGAACGAAGAAAAAGATTCCTTTCCTGGCAACTGGGGGTCAGGGTGAATACTTAACCTACATTTGCTTGTCAGGTATGCTAAATTATTTTGAAATCCAGCTATCCTTTCAGTTTGTTTGTAAAAGTTGATTGATGTTGTCTGGGGATAAAAATAATGTAGCATCATGAATTTTAATTAGACAATTAAATGAAAAATCAGAGCATAAACCTTCAGTATTCATATATTTAAATTATAAAGGTAATGTATGGTTAAAGTGCAGTATTGCAAGCCAACTCTGCCTACAGTCTGGAGTTCAATACTGACAGGGCTCAAGGTTGACTCAGCTTTCCATCCATCCGAGGTTGGTAAAATGAGGACTCAGATTGTTGGGGGCAATATTCTGTCTTGGTAAACCACACAGAGAGTGCTGTAAAAAGCACTATGGGGTGATATATAGGGCCAAATGCCATTGCTAATGTATCAGTGAAAAAATGCACCTGGATTTTTGGTATTGCATTAAGAAATTTCTGTATGTATATTTCCTATGGTCTTGAAGTAGAAATTACCATATACACTTGTAGATCAACCAAGAATTTTGAGCTGCCAAAAATTGAGTTCATCTTATCTACATGTATATACTATAGACAGTACATATATTCCTCAGCCTATGAACATAATTAAGCCCAAAGTTTTGGTCATAAGTCATGATGGTTATAAAGCAGGTCATTGTGTGACTGGACAGGCATCTCTTTTGTGGCAGTTGTTAAGCAAATACCATAGCCATTAAGTGGACCCATTGTTTGCTATGGACATGTTTTGCTGGAAACGGGAAGTAAGCACCAGTTTCTGGCAAAAAAAGTTGTAAAGTTTGCGTGGTCACCAACTCAGATCACCAAGTAAGATTAGATACTGCATTTATTTATTTATTTATTTATTATTTAAATTTAAATTTAGAATGATTCAGGGTAGCTGATCCCAAATATAAGCACTGATGAAGATTGCTGTTCTGATTGTCTCGTAGGAAAGTTATAAAATACTTCATCAAAAGGAATTGAGTTTGTAGATTGCATACTAGGCAAATGCAAAAGCCCCAATGCAGTGTGTGTATTATGCTATTGAGAGTTCCAGATTATAAATTGTAAATTTCAAAATTGTATTGTTGATTTTGTTTGTGTGTGTGTTAGTGTGCAACCTTTAGAGCAGGGATCGGCAACCTTAAACACTCAAAGAGCCAGTTGGACCCGTTTCCCAGAGAAAAGAAAACAATGGGAGCTGCAAAATTTGTGCTCACCTGGCAAGCTGTCTTCACGCTTGTTCTCCGACAAGCTGACACACATTCTTATTGGGCTGGCTTTCTCCTGCCCTTGGTCTGCCAGTCCTCTTCCCCCACTCAGTGAGAGAAAAAGAGAGTGAGTGAGTGAGTGAGTGAGTGAGTGAGTGAGTGAGTGAGAGAGAGAGAGAGAGAGAGAGAGAGAGAGATGCTGCTGCTTCCTGCTGAGACGCAGCAAAGGCATGAGCCCCGCCCAATAAGCTTGTCAGCTTGTCCAAGAACAGCGTGAGGCCATTCTCTTTTTCACACACACGCAGAGAGAGAGAGAGAGAGAGAGAGAGAGAGAGAGAGAGAGAGAGAGAGAGAGAGAGAGAGAGAAGGGAAGCACAAGTGCCTCTTTCTGTTTCTGTCTCTCTCTCTGCAAATGGAGGAGGCTGGGAGCCGCAAGAGAAGGCTCAAAGAGCCACATGCGGCTCCAGAGCCACGGGTTGCTGACCCATGCTTTAGAGCAACCAGACCATTACCATTACGGTATGTTCCAGAGTATATTTAAATACATAACTACTCTATTGTATTGGTTTGTTGGCTTGTTGAGCTTTAGTGTATATGTGTCGTGCATGGTTTCTACATTGTCTTGTTTCTTGTTGATAACTGGTCTTTTATAGGTAGAATTGGAAGTTAAGAAGAGCTGACAATAAATTAAATTATCACTTTTAGAAAAAGCAAAGAAAGAATATTTTTATCCATAGTCAAAAGAGTGCAGGCAGCTGACTCTATAGAGATTTTTCCATATGTATCTGTGAAGCTGTGAAGTTTATTAAATTGTTCTTATCAAGGATTTTTTTCTCCTTTGTCCCCTCTGCTATTGTTGAAATATATATGTACAGGAAGTTCTTGACTTACGGCCATAATTGAGCTCAAAATTCACGTTGCAAAATGAAACATTTGTTAAGTGAATTTTGCCCAATTTTACGACTTTTCTTGCCACAGTTGTTAAATGAATCACTGTAGTTGTTAAATTAGTTGTTAAGTGAATCTAGCTTCCCCATTGACTTTGCTTGTCAGAAGGTCGCAAAAGGGGATCACATGACTTCGAGACACTCCAACGGTCATAAATGTGAGTCAGTTGCCAAGTGTCTGAATTTTGATCACATGACCATGGGGCTACTGCAACAGTCGTAAGTGAAAAACGGTCATAAGTCATTTTATTCAGTGCCGTTGTAACTTCAAACAGTCATTAAATGAACTGTTGTAAGTCGAGGATTACCTGTATTGCAATTGTTAAACAGAGCTTGTTGTTGTTGTTAGTTGCGAAGTCGTGTCCGATCCATCGCGACCCCATGAACAACATTCCTTCAGCCCTTCCTGTCCTCTACCATCTTCTGGAGTCCATTTAAGCTCACGCCTATTGCTTCAGTGACTCCATCCAGCCACCTCGTTCTCCGTCGTCCCATTCTTCTATTGCTCTCAATCTTTCCCAGCATTAGGCTCTTCTCCAGTGAGTCCTTCCTTCTCATTAGGTGGCCAAAGTACTTGAGTTTCAACTTCAGGATCTGGCCTTCTAAAGAGCAGTTAGGGTTGATCTCCTCTAGGATTGACCGGTTTCATCGCCCTGCAGTCCAGGGGACTCACAGGAATCTTCTCCAGCACCATAGTTCAAAGGCCTCAATTCTTTTGCGCTCAGCCTTTCTTATGGTCCAACTTTCACAGCCATACATTGCAACTGGGAAAACCATGGCCTTGACTATACATACTTTTGTTGGCAGAGTGATGTCTCTGCTTTTTTGTATGCTGTTTAGATTTGCCATAGCTTTCCTCCCCAGGAGCAGTTTCTTGGCTGCAGTCCCCATCTGTGGTGATCTTGCAGCCCAGGAAGATAAAATCTGTCACTACCTCAATTTCTTCCCCATCTATTTCCCAGGAATTGAGAGGGCCGGATGCCATGATCTTGGTTTTCTTAATGTTGAATCTTGCCAACCTGTAAAAGTATAATGGTAAAAGATATTCCTCTTATGTTTTTAGACTAGTATTGTTGAAAACTGTAAAATGTATATCTAAGCATACATTTAGGCAGTTAATAGTGTTTCATTTTTTTGCTGCTTTGATGAATATGCACTTCATTCCATTGCATCAGTGCTTAACTTTGCTTGTCAAATTGGTAATTTAAGCCTCATTGCTTTTACCTAATCAATTTGTATTTCATCTTTTAAACTTGGGCTGCTGAAAATTTTCTTTTGGAGGAGCTTTGCCCCCAAAGCAAAACAAAGTCAAAATAAAGTTACCTTATTTACTTGTATACCTATAGCTTGGCATCTATGTACTAGTCAAGTCCTCATGTTATTTTTCAGCACTTTTGGGAACTCTCGGGGAGGGTTGCTTCAATTAAAGCCAATATGAGTGATTTGCAAACAAATCATGCAGAACCAACTTTATTTCCTTCAGATTTATTTAATATACCAGGGGAATGGCACAGACAGTGTAACTGGATCTCAGAAAAGCATTTGAGAAAGTCTCTCATGATATCATCCTAACCAAATAAAAAAATACATGCCGGATGCTAGAATGACTATTCCCAAATAATGTTTGTTAATGGTTTTATTTCAGCCTGATGGGACATATCAAGTAGAAGTCATTTTTAGGAATGATTTTCATTTTTAGCAATGATTTTGATGAGAGTGTTGAGGATAAGAAATTTGCAGATTACATAGCAAGTTACAGAAAAATCCAGACAGGGTTCAGCAATGGACTGGAATTAACAAGGATAAAAGAGGAAGGAGGAGGAGGAGGAGGAGGAGGAGGAGGATATAAGGCACTAGTATAGTATGGTGTTATAGGATAGAGATGACCTGCCTTGGCATATGTATATGTGAAAGGGATCTGGGAGTTCTAGTTGCCCCCATATTAAACAAGAGCCAGTATTTGTAATATTGTGTTCATTTCTAGATGCCACTGTTCAAAAGGGAGAATTAGAAAAGTCATTCCCCAAGGTTTGATGGGGAGTCTGGAAACAAAGCCTGTAAGAACTAGTTAAAGGATCTAGGTATATCTAACCTACAGACATATGATAACAGTCTTCAGCTAGCTAAAGGGCAGTTGTGTAGAAATTATTCTTTATTGTCCTGGAAGGCAGGACCAGAATCAGTGGGTTAGAACTACAAGGAGGGTCAGATTAGAAGAAGAACTTCTACGTTGTATGAATTGTCAGCCAATGGAATTGACTTCTGGACAGAGTGATGGTGAGTTTCCTTTGCTGAGGATCTTCAGACAGAAACTGGATGGTCATTTGTTAGATCAGTGGTTCTCAACCTTTTTAATGCCGCGACCCCAACCGGTCGTAAGTCGAGGACTAAACCGGTCATAAGTCGAGGACTAAACTGGTCGTAAGTCGAGGACTAAACCGGTCGTAAGTCGAGGACTACCCAACCGGTCGTAAGTCGAGGACTTTCCCTGCCCGGGAGCGCCGCACATGCATGGTTCCGCCCCCTGCGCCGACCGAGGCGTAGCTGGCAAGCGGCAGAGACGGAGCAGGCTGACCACCAGCTGGCCCAGCCCAAGGGAGGTAAGGCACCCACCGGAAAAGGGGAAAAATGGCGGACAAAAAAAATGGCGGACAAAAAAAATGGCGGACAGCCTTGCTTGGCGACCCCCGTGAAATGGTCGATCGACCCCAAATGGGGTCCCGACCCACAGGTTGAGAACCACTGTGTTAGATATACTCTGGCGAATCCTGCACTGATTGGGGAACTTAAATAACAGTGAGGTCATTTCCAGATCTATGATTCTATGATGGAATCCGCTCTGCTCCGAGAACTCTGGTTCTTGA